TCCTGTCCTCTAGACCAGCTCCTCAGTCTTAGTGTCTCATTGCAGGGTAAGTAAAGTATCAAGCTTTTCTGCCCTCCCACCATTAGGACTAATGATAGATCCTGAATGCATGCCTGATGGCAGACACCTGGAGTAGGGTGTGGGCATGCATAGGTGGGTACATCTGGGCTGAGAGTGGGCTTATAAGGGTGATGCAGCAGAGTGCAGGGAGGTGGTGCGGTGCAGAGTATGGAGGAGTGCAGTGGAGTGGATGAAGGAGTATGGCGGAGAATGGCGGAGCACGACGGAGTACAGCCACGACGAACAGCGGAGCGCATGAAGACAACATGGCTGTTAGAATTGGTAAAGAACCTACCCGGTATGGGCTGGTTGCGTTACACTCATATAGTCTTATGGCCATTTCTACTCTAGGTTATACTAGATATAACATTTGGGTATAGAATTCTAGTTGATTTGGGCCTCCCCAGTGGCACAGCGGTTGAGCACTGGGTTGCGAAGCTGCCTGCAGCCTCTGCAGCGCCGGTTCAATCCCCAGCCGGCAGGCGAGGGTCCCACGTGGCGTGCAGACCTCTCCTGCCACCTGCTGCTCCCCTCAGCAGTGTACTTCAGTCCTTCTGCCTGCTCTGCTCCCCGCTCTGGCTCTGGTGAATTCTCTCACCCTCCTGCACTTCTGACTGTACCCAGTGCTTGCATAAATAAATAAATAAATCTTAAAAAAAAAAAAAAAGAATTGTAGCTGATTTATGGTCATAGGCTGGGAGCGATTCTCTTTTCTTTCAAGCACAAAGCAGCCTTATCCTGGGCTCTTGGTTCCTGTTATTAACAGGGGCCTGTGCTCTAGTTTATTTAACTATTATTTTGTTTTCTTTTTTTGGAGTTACCCCTTGGCTATCAGAGAGCAGGTGCTTTGAATATTCCAGTTGCCTCAAATAGTAGCCTCTTCCTTGAGGAGACACAGATGATCTTACTTGTTCCCGCCCCAACCCCACTAATTCATGCTCCAGCTATTTTATATTGAGATCCTCAGGCCCACATGTGAGATTCTACTCTACACCACCATTCTGCAGCTTTCCAACATGGAAGCCACTCTGTCCTGAGGACAAACTCAGCATGCCATTTTCTGGTGCAGTACTGGATCTCACAGTCCAGGTATTGGCATCTGTGCCTGAGTGAACAGCTGTAGGGGATTCTGCAAGTAAAGGCCTCTCACTCTTGTGTGCTGTACTGCCCTGGTATTGCTGTAAACAGAGTTCACTTCAAGTTCTCTCTACCCTCCTTCCCACTGGAGTGTGACTGTTAGTGTGCAGTGTGGTTGTCCATTTTTCCCTCAAGAGTTTTAGGGGCCTTGTTTTACTGCAATCTAGCTGTGAATATTTGGAGGTGGTAAGTACAGTGTCTTCATTCTGCCAACATCTTTCCGGGTTCTTCCTTTTTATTGGGCTTCCCAGCAAAGTGCAGATTGCTTCTCTTATGGTGCCTTATAGTTCCTGTAGGTTTTATTCACTCACTTTCATTCTTCCTTCTTTACTTTTTCCCAACAGGATAAGGTCATATGCTCTTCTACTTCACAGATTCTTTTTTATAATCAAGTCTCCAACTGGGGCTCTCTATTGCCATTTTTTAATTTCATTTAATGTATTCTCTAGATTTAGAATTTCTGGGGGTTTTTTTCTTTATATTTCAGTCTTTCTATTAAATATTATCTTTGTGGATGTATTTTTTTTTCCTATTTTCATAGTTTTTGTAGTTCTTTGAGTTTCCTAAAATAATTACATTGAATTCCCTCTCAGGTAAATTTCACATTTTCATTTCTTTGGCATTGGTTACTGGAAAATTAGTTTTTCCTTTAGTGCTACCATGTTTCTTCAATTTTTCTAATTCCTTAAAGATTTTATCGTTGTCTCCATATTTGAAGAAGATTCTCCACATTTGTCTCCATCTTCTAAGTCTCTATTGCCTGGTTTGGGGATAGAAATACTTTCACTGATCAATCCTATTAGGGTTTCTGAGGTTTTCTCAGGTCTTTTCCATGAATATGCTTGCTCTATACTTTTAGTTCCCTTTTGAAGTGGACTTACTAAGATTATATACTTTCTCTTGATCCTTAAAAGTCAGGCCGATTAATGACAACCTCCTGTTTGCCTTCCTTAGGGTGGGGCTAAGTGCACAAATTTCTGTGAGTCCTCCCAATTCTATCATTGGGCTGCTTTCTGCATATATTTATGAGCCACCTGCAAAGCTTCACATTCAATACCAACGTTTCCAAACATGAAGCTTGCCATGGAGTGTGTATGGGTGATATGCATGGAGTGCTGGGGGTTTCCATGGGTGACTTAGAGGTATCCACAGGCAATGTATCCCCAGGACTCATGGGTGGATAATGAAAATTATAGGCAGTTGGTAAAACCCCATATCAAAATCTGTCACCCAAAGATATTTGGTAGAGAATTGCCTACTGAAAAAAGACTGAATTGAACTTAAAATCTACACTTTCATGTTGAATATGTATCTGTAATTTGTATACATTTTTTTCGCAAACTATTTCATTATTTGTTTTTGCCTCTAATTCTGTGGTTTGTTTTCTCATGTTCTCCACTCCATTGTGACTTTTAAAAAATTTTTCATTAGACAATTCCTCTAGGAAATCCATAATTGTTGATTAATCCTTTTGCCCACTGGGGATGCCCCAGATTAGTAACACTACATTTATAATGATACTGAAAAGACTTACTTATCTCTTCTTGGGAATATGTTACACTACACACATATTTACAAGTTATTATCTCATCTAATTTCTAACAGAATTGAGACTAGGTTTTCTATAAGGAATGATATTGTCTTTCTACTCTTTAATACCAATAACTGATCATAACCATAAATGAACAGTATCATTAATTAATGATAAAATGTCATTGTAAAAACTCTATGCTCTGGTCACATAAGATGAAAGCATCGTAAAGAGCAATCCAGGTACCAATAAGAGACAGTTTACTATAAATTAAAGATTATTTGAGAATCAGTGTTGAGCTATTTAGCAGAATCCTCAATTGCTTGAAATAGAACAATGCAGCCATTTTCACCTAAGGGAAACAGACTGAATGACGTATTTGTTATGTATATTATCAAGGTGAGAGAAAGAGAAATTAAGTTTCTTATACAAAATGAGTATTCACTAAAGTATCAAACTGGTACAGTAGGGAATATATCTCCAAATTGTTCTCACTTTCAGCCAAATGGGCAGCAAATTGACTCAAAATGCTTATGTTAATTAATTTACTTAATCATTCAATGAGAATTTATTTGAGTGCTTCACTTGTGCCAGACACAATTCTAAACTCTTATGAAACAGAGAAGAATGTGACAGAAAAGCCTCTGTCCTCATGGAGAATACATATTTGTAGATGATAAAAAAGACAATAAACAAACAAAACAAATTCAGATAGAGATTGGTGCTATTAAACAAACATGAGGCCATGTGGTATGTTCAAGAGATTGAAGGTTGGTACACTTCAATATGGGAAGACAGAGTCAGATTTTTGGATGAAAAGAAATACACATCTCATACTGAGAGGCTAGTTATAGAGGATTTTTTCATCTGTCTCCTGCTGACCATATTTTCCTATTTCACTAATTATTATTGTCCCATTTGAAATACTAGTCAATAAACGATTATTGAGATCCCACTGTGTTCTCAGCACCAGTATGACCAGAAAATGTGGTTGAATTCAAGCAACTAATTCTACTGCTGTGATAAAATATGAGGTGGAGAATCATGCTTAAGTCAGTAAATAACTTAAGCCTTCTTTTTTTGATGGGTACATTTGAGTCTAAGCTTCCTCAAGCATTCATATATCACACATGTGAAATTTGGCCATCAAAGTTCTAGGAACTCCTCCAAAAAGAGGCATCATTTATTGCCACTAGATGGCACCAATTATTTTCATATTTTTAGACCAAAAAAAAAAAAAAAGAACCTTTTTCCAGGTAATAGCCACACTTAAAATGGAAGAATGTTACTTAGCAACATTATTAATAAAAGTACTGCTCTTTTATTAATAATTTTCTTATATGAAGGACCACAGCAATTGCATTTAAAGTTGCTGTGTTCATGAACTCACATGTTTATTCAATTCATGTTTGTTTCTAATTTTGCTTAATGTATTAGCAATGTTTTTGAAAATGTAAAAAGGAAAGTAATAAATACATATCATTATTAAACATAAATAGGATCAAAATAGCTGATAAAATATATTACATATGTCTTTTAAAGTTTCACAGAAAATTGTTTTAATAAATTGTGGTAGAATTACTTGCTCTTAAAGAAGGAATTCCCCATTGTGTCCCTCAAAAATAAGTAATATTTATAAATGTATTGAAAAAACAATAGTGTTTATTATTATATTCAAATATAGCAAAACCGTTATAAAATTGTAAAATGAGACAGAAATCACAACTAAATATATAATATTTAGTCATATTCTATATTAGAAATTTAGAATGCATAGTTTTATAAAACAATAATTTCAGATGTAGGAAAGCATTTCCCTTCCTGTTTCTAACTAGTAAGTTTAAAGGGCAATTAAGACATAAAAATTTTTCTAAAGGAAAAGCACATAAACAATTTTCATTTTTAGAGACTGGTTAGTAAATATTCAAAGTATGTTCACTTAGAAATAAAATGTAATTTTCCTCACATTTTCCATTTAAAATATAAAAATGACCCTGGCATAAATATAACCTATATTTCACATCAGTAGTGATGTGAAAATTATACAATAACAAAATGACAGTGCAAATAAAATGCATTAAACTATGAATTCATATGCTATAGGAATATAATTACTGAGAAGAAAAAAGGTTAGTTACATGTCTATTATGTTAAAAGATTCACTTTAAACATCAGTGCATGTTTGCTACTTCAGGATGAAAAATGACTGCTTCAAACTAGCTGCTATTATTACATTTCCTTCATTCTCAAACAGTTCAAAAATAATACTCACTTTAATATTTGCCAGAGTGTTTTTCCTCATGGTAAGGAGTAGTTGGAATTTCTGTTCGTCTTCATATAGTCTCTCTTTACAGAGTTTTTTCTCATTCATGAGATGCTCAAACACAACTTGAGCATGTTCCCTTTTGTATCTGATAGTTACAAATTGGTCTCTATGAAGAAATAATTGCATTTACTATTAATATTTTACAACACCTTAAAAGACTCAATATTGAAAAAAATATTGGAACTGAAGGGTTTTAGATATTCACTACCCCTTCCAAAGACCTACCTTTACAGAATTACTTTAAATGAGCCAGGTGAAAGAAAATTAAGTGGATTCTCTTAGTTATCTACTTGACTGTGAGTTTATTTTTGTTGTCATTTGGAAAGAAATCCTCTTCTAGGCATGTAAATCTGAGGATATATTCTGATTAGATAAAGTCATCAGCACATGGCTAATTATACAGGAGTGAACATATATATTAAGAGAGGCAAAAATAATGAAAAGCAAGGCCCTAATTCCATACAGAAGATTTCCCATCCACTAAGTGTGAATAATGAGTATGTTTTATAGTTTACTGACAGCCACCATTGTGGAGAGAGGAAAAATGAGTATCCAGTGTTCACCCACTTCCTCTTACCCTACCCCTGGGGCCTCCTGACATGCAAGGTGGATACATTTCTGTGTTTAAGCCAAAGTGTGTGTCCATGCACATATGTATGTCTGTGAATGTTGTCATTTACAACTAAGTATCCTGATATAGAGGTAAAATGATTTTTTAAAATAAAATCTGTAGTTGTATAAGGAACAACACTACTAGAAAAAGCATCAGAAAGTGGTTGATACTTTAAAAATAAACATGATTTAGTAATAATTGCCAGATTTGATTCACCAACCCAGAATCTGGATAAACAGAGTTGCAAAAGCTCAACACACTTATGTTAGCCACATTTATTTTTACTTCTATTGGTATAGAAAATTGTATCAGCACTGTGGTGGAAGGCCATGGGATGGGTGCTTCAGGGTGGGCATGCTATGATGACTACATCTGAGGTGGGGATCCTATACTGCCAAATTACTAACAACTGTGTAAAACAATGGTACTTCAGTAATTTTTTTAGAATCATTTTATATCCAAAGTAAAAAAAAATATTAAAATAAAATGTTAAAGTGCCATGAATTCGAAAACTCCATGAATGAATAATTATAGCAGTTTACCTATGAAGTACTTAAACTTTAACATTAATTTACAATGTGCAAGTCAAGTAGAAAAGGACAGACCAGAATTCAATCCCAGTAATGTCTTACTCTGTGTGATACAGCAGCTCAGACTAAGTACCCATTTTTTTCCCTCTCCGCCAGAGCCGTATTGACAAATTTGAAAACATAACTCTTTGTTCACATTCTTTAGATGTGAGTCTTTTCTTCTAAATGGAATAAGATTGTTACCTTTCATCTGCTTTGTCTCTGGTTTTTTGCACTTCATCATTCATATAAACAACATCCAAATGCTTATGTGATGCTTTTATAAATATTCACTAAAATGACCATTACCAAAAAGTTCTCAGTTACTGTCAGCAAACACGGCTATCTGGAATACAAATATTTGTTCTATGCACTATTTTGAGAATGGATTATATTCAATGTACAGGTTTAGTAATTATATATGCATAATAGACATTGTATATGTCTTGCTACATAGTAAAACACTGGTGTGTGTGTTTTTTTCCTCACACTGATGAAAAGAACAGATTCAGAAGTCCTTAGGTTGAGTTTGAATTCATTTACTTCCCAGTTAAGAAACAGTTGTGAAAATTGCACAAGAGTCAAGGATAGCTTAAATTGCTATTATATCTATTAACATTTTAATTGTTTTTCATGTGTAAATTTTGTTTCTCTAAAACAATATTCAGACACTTGAAGGTATTTGCCAATTTCTTTATCCTTCTTGCTGCCTGGAAATAGGCACACCATGAGTCACCAATAAATAACTACTAACTTGATAAGTTCATCCATTGCAATTACCAGAAGATAATTCCTAATATAGTTTATCTGCAGTTATTTTCCTTTCCAATCTTAATAGTTTATCTGCAGTTATTTTCCTTTCCAATCTTAATTTGTACAGTCAATATGCAAGGCAGAAAGAGCATGTACTATGGAGCATGATAGACCTAAACTGGAACTAGCCTTACGACTAATTAACGGTATAATCTTATGACAACTGTTTGATTTTCCAGAATGTGTTTCCTTAGCATTTATTTCAGAAATTTATTATATAATTTAAGAATTTGCTGTGAGAACAGGATGAAATGGGGAAAAAAGGTTGTCCATAAGTACCTGGCACTTTAAGAAGTCAATCAATGCTAGCTTTAAATTTTACTTGAAATTGTTCAACATCACTGCTAAATAATAGAGTTGTAAATAATATCACAGTGTCAACCTATTCCTTTTCTCCTCTTCCTTGGGGAGGGCAAAGTTTTGTCAAGTTTAGAGAGGGAACTGCTTCACTGGTACCTGGTAACAAATCTTATTTCAAGGCAATATAATCTATCCAAAAGATTAAACAAATAGCTAATATTGGAAATGGTAAAAATCCTGAAGAAAAAAACTTCAAAAAAGCCCTAAATTAAACTTTTTGTTTAATGTGAATGTATAATTTTAAGAGTATACCTTTGAGTTCCAAAATATTCTTAGATATTAAGCAATGTGGATAAATATCTTTCAAAGTAAACATGTTTTCTTGCTCTCTGATGTGATATAGTCGTATGATTTAGTCATTTGCAGATAAAGCTATATAATCTTTTTGAAAATAAGTTTTTGCCCTAAGGTAACAACTAAACAAATTCTTGTTGAGTTCAGTGATTTGACTCCATGAAGGTGTATGGTATCAGGCTGTGCATAATTATATTTAATGATACTTTATCTCTCAAATTGTGATGAATCTGCCTATATTATATCTGCTGTCTATATTTAAATTGAATTATTCCTAAAAGTGACCAATGTCTATTTGTCCAATTGTAATCTAAGCCCTGTTCTCAATCTATTACTATTACAAAGTAGAAAGTAATAACCAATATAAGTGAAGAAAGAGAAGATAAATTCTAGTTAGAGTCCAAGATACACTATGGCTTATAGCATGATCCTTCTCTGAGCAACGGCCTTAACTAAATTCTAGTTAGAGTTCAAGATACACTATGTCTTATAAGCATGATCCTTCTCTGAGCAAAGGCCTTAACTAACCTGTGTCAGGCATGTTAGTGGCCCCCCAAACTAATGAGGGGACTTTAGAAGACAAAAAATGTGAACAAATCACATGCCATTTAGTAGAATATTCTTAAATTCTTACTTCACGACTATTATCATAAAATGTGGGTGAGAAACCATGTTATATAAACATGTCAAGCTAGGAAGAAATACTGACTTTAGTGGAAAAGACGATTAATTTAATAAAGAATAAAAGGTATTGCATTTGGAAAAAGAGAAACAGTCTCAGTTATCCAATTAAGAATAAATTCAGGGGCCTCCCCAGTGGCACAGCGGTTGAGCGCTGGGTTGCGAGGCTGCCCACAGCCTCTGCAGCGCCGGTTCAATCCCTGGCTGCTCCCCGGCCACCGGAGGAGGGTCCCACATGGCACGCAGACCTCTCCTCCCACCCGCTGCTCCCCTCAGCAGTGTACTTCGGTCCTTCTGCCTGCTCTGCTCCCCGCTCTGGCTCTGGTGAATTCTCTCACCCTCCCATGCTTCTGAACCAGTGTTTGTATAAACAAACAAACAAACAAACAAATAAATAAGTGAATGAATGAATAAATGAATGAATAAATGAATAAATCTTTAAAAAATAAATTCAGGGGAGCAATGAAAAATTGTAGCAATTTATGATCATGATTTTAAACCAAAATTATCAAACGTCACATGTACATTCCACATCAAATTATGATAGAAAATATGGATCATTTTAAGAACAAATTTTAGATCTACAAATTTGATCTTATCTGTTATGATATATTAAATTTTAGTAGTTCATAAAATTTTCAATGTACTTACTTTAAACTGTTAATTTTTTGAACAAGATTTTCCTTTTCCTTTATTTTTTCTTCTAAATCCTTATCCATTTGACTTATTTTTGTCTGATAAAGAAATGTTTTACTTTTAGCAGACTCTATTTCTTTAAAAATTAATGATTGTTTTTCCTGGGGAGAAAACAAGAATGCTTTATCTCTAATACTGCTATATTCAAATCCTTGTAATTTAGGGACACAATTACATGTGTTCATGGAGAAAATTAAACAGTAACTTGTTATCAATAAAAGTAACAACTTAGCTGTATGTTCTCTTTTCCGTTATTACATTTGATAAGATCTTCTAAAAAATGAGTTAGAAATACTTCTTCTCTACCCTTAATGTACCCTTTCTCTCTTACACTAACTTGTACTCCCATTCACACACATGAAATTTTAAATACATAATCTTTCAAGATGAAAACATGTGGTTACTTGTTTTCAAAGACATACAATTATATATGTATAGTTCTGAACTTCTAAAAATGAAGTTAATATTTAATGCAAGCACAATTTTCTAAAATTAGACCATGTAATATGGGTTAGATTGGAAATTTTATTTTGCATCTATCATTGTATTATCCTTTCATGTTTGCTAGGTGTTTATACTAACTAATTTGCTGACTGGGTGATTGATTTTTTGAATGCTGTTCCTCACATTGCTCCTAATTATTACTGTACTCCCAACTAATTCCATAGATCTCAACTTCTCCCTTGACTTCTATTTAATGCCACTTCCACCAAATCACTCCTTAATTCTTCCTCTACCTTCTAATACTCTATTCTTAATTTAGTCTTACAGATCTCAAGAAGATTAACTAATATTTTATATCTATTTTACTGTAAAATTGTGCTGATTGTCAAAGATTTTAAACATTGAATTTCCATATACTTATCACTTTCTTTTTTTTTAAAGATTTATTTATGCATACAAGAACTGGGTTACAGGCTAGAGATGCGGGGGGTGAGAGGATTCACCAGAGACAGAGTAGGGAGCAGAACAGGCAGACTAACTGAAATACACTGCTGACAAGAGCAGCGGGGGAGTCAGGAGAGGTCTGCTGTGCCATGTGGGTTGCTCCCTGGCTGGCCAGGGAATCGAACTCATGCTGTAGTGGCTGAGCACAGCTTGATAGGTTGCATCTTAACCCCTTGCACCACCCGGGAGGCTCCTCTCTTTCTTTTTATATAAGTTCTGGAGTATTTTTTTACTGATTATTGAGGTGAGAAACACACACACATAAAATCTCTACATATAAGAATATCATTTATGGCTTAATTGGAAACTTCAATGGCTCACTAACAATGTTATTTCTGGGAGAAATTTTAATCCAAAATGAAAGAAATGAAACACTGGGGAGAAGATGGTATCAGGGGAGGTCCCTACTTCATTCCTAGGAGTATAATATGAAACAAGTACAGAGGGGAACTGTACCCAAAGGATCCCATTAAGTGGAACAAAAGTAGAGATCCTTTTTGATGTCTGAGACTAATGTTGACTGCACCAGATGGGACACAGGAAATTCAATGCCATACAACAAAAGGTGGGTGGATAAGGTAATCAGAGGATGTGGCAAGGTGGCACCAGTGGTGTACACTTGTGCTCCCATGTTTGTTTGGTGTTATCTGATTCCATCAGGAAAGGCAAAATAATAATAATGGGTATTCCAGAAGGAGATTAGAGATAAGGGGACAGAGGACTTATTGAAAGAAATACTAGAGGAAAATTTCACAAACCTGTAAAAGTAACAAAATATACAAACTCATGAATCTAAAAAACATCTGGTTACCTAAAGAGACCTACACCAAGACATATTGTTATGAAACTTCTAAGAGTTGAAGACAAAGAATATTGAAGTTAGTTAGAAGGGAAAAGATAATGTATAAAAGCACCCCCATTATACTTGCAGTTGACTTCTCTGAGGGAAAGCCATGGGCAAGGAGTGAAAAGAAGTGCATATTCAAAATAATTGAAGACACAACTGCCAGTCAAGAATGCTATAATCTGGGACCTCCATAGTTGTGCAGGGGTTAGAAACAGCACTATCAAGCTATCGCCAGTCACTACAGCACAAGTTTGATACCTGGCTAGCAGGGAGCTGACTCATATGATGCAGCAGACCTCTCCTGCCTCACCCACTGCTACCCTCAGCAGTGTATTTCAGTATATCTGTCTGTTCTGCTCCCCACTCTCTCTGGTGAATCCTCTCACTCCCACCCCCTGCAACTCTGGCTTACACCCCAGTTCTTGTATGCATAAATACATATTTTTTTTTAAAAAGGAATACTATCACCTATAGGGCTTTCCTTCTGATATGAGGGATGAGGAGAACTAAAGACCTTCTCAGACAAACAAAAGCTGAAGGAGTTTTCAAAGAGTATAACTCCCTACAAGAAAAGCTGAAAGGAGCTCTCATGTTTAAATTGAAGAACATCCACAAAAAGAAGTAAACAAGGAAATAGAACCAGAAAATGAAGGATAAAATGGCAGTTGCATTCCTTCATATGTCAATAACCATCCTAAATGTGAAAGGACTTAACTTACCAATCAAAAAGCATGGAGTGGTTGGTTGACCATAAAACAAAACCCAATTCCCTGATGTCTCCAGGAAACATAGTGGAGTTCCAAATATGAACACAGATTCAAAGTGAAAGATTGGAAAACAATCCCAGAAACCCACAAACCAAAAATAAGGCAAGAACAGACATACTTATATCACATAAAACATGTTTCCAACCAAAAAAGGAATAAGAGTCAGGGATGGATACTATATAATGATTAAAAAGAATAATGTATCAAGGAAGACATAACATTCATCAATATGAGTGTTACTACCAAATGAAGTGGTCAATCCAGACCACTTTCCAAAATGACTGCACCAGGTCAAATTCTCACATTCCCAGTATAATAGGGTTCTTCTTTTTTAACATCCTCTCCAACATTTGTTCGGACTCTTTTTCATACATGCCATTCGCAAGAGAGAAAGATAACTCATTGTGGTTTTAACCTGCATCTCTCTTATAGGAAACAGTAATAAACATTTTTTTAATATACCTATTGACCCCTTTGATGCTTTTTTTTTTTTTTGGTGAATTGTCCATTCAGATCTGCTATCCATTTATTAATTGCTTTGTTTCCTTTTATTGTTAAGTTGAATACATTTTTGGGGATATCTTGGTTATTAAACCCTTGTTTTGTATAATATATACATACCTTCTCCCATTCAGCTTGATGTCTTTTTAATCTGCTTATATATTTTTTCACTGTAAAAGTTTTTTTCTAATTCCTTCAGGTGAGAGATAAGATTATTTGAGCTCTTTCCTATTTCCATATGTGAGCCTGTATTGCCTCTTAATCCTTTTTTTGCCTTGCCCATTGATTTTGTCTTTATATTTTTAACTTTTACTTCAATTTCTTCATTATCCCAATTGTTATTCAGTAATGTATTGTTTGGTATCCACATGTCAGAGGTTATTCCTGCTTTCTTTATGTAGTTTATTTCAGTTTGATACCATTGTGATCAGAGAAGATAACTGATATGATTTCAATCTTCATGAATTTACTGACACTTCCTTTATTACCCAAACATGATCTGGAGAATGTTCTATTTGGAATGTATCCAAATATGCACTTGAGGAGGATGCATATTCATCTTTTGATTTCACAAAGTAAAATACTTACAAAAGCTAGTGGACACCATAAAGAAAGTGAGGCTTCTGATGTTAAGAGAGAGGGGTAAAAAGGGAGGGGATCGAAGAAAAAGTAAATAGTATAATCCCAGGGATATGCGTTGTATATAGATCTCTTTTATTTTTGTCTATTTCAAAATACTATGTACTTTCTAATACATTACCCAAACATGTTTAGATTTTAGAAAAAGTAGCCCATGAAAATGTCACTGCTTTAAGAGTTAAATTATAATAATATGTTTTTGTTTTTAAATTACAATAATGTTGACCAGAAAAATTAATTTCTAAAATGTAGGTTATTTTTATCCATATCTATCTAAAGGATAATTTTTATGTTATGTATTTCATTTAAGTAGAAAGATAATTAACTGAACATTAATACTGAATATGATCAATAAAATAGGTAAATTTTTTAAAAATGTACATTAAGTTGCCATTGGGAGATAACTTGCAAAATAATTTCATTTACATTTCTTTGTTAATAAGTAAGCAATTATAACACAATTTCAAAATAAATCAAATATTTTAAATAAAAATGAACAAGATTGGACCATTTTCAACACAAAAACTCAAGGCTATTCATTCTGTGTACAAACCAACTTGAAAATCACTTATTTCACACCTTAGGTTAAAGTGTCTGTTCAAGAAGCATGCAAAAGAATGAATTTAGACAACTATTTCACACCATATAGAAAAATCAATTCAAAATGGATAAAATACTTTGATGTAAGACCTGAAACATAAAATACATAGAAGAAATCATAGATAAAACATTTCACAACATAAGCTCCAGTGATGTCTTTAGAGATTCATCGCCAACAGAAAGGAAAACAAAAACAACGTAAACAGCTGGGACTATATCAAACTAAAAACTTCTGCACAGTAAAAGAAACCATAACTGAAACAAAAAGACACTCTACTTAATGGGAGAAAATATTCACAGTTCATATATCTGACAAAGGATGGATATCAAAGATATACAAAGAAATCATAAAACTCTATTAAAAAAAAAAAAAAAAAACAAGCAAGTGACCCAATCAAAAAATATGCAGGAGAACTAAACAGGCACTTCTCCAAAGAAGACATAGAGACTGCAAACAAGCACATGAAAAAATATTCACCATCACTTATCATTAGGGAAATGTAAATCAAGAAACAGTGAGACACCATCTCACACCTGGGAGAAATCCCCATATCAAAAAGACAAGAAACAAGGAGTGCTGGTGGGATGTGGAGAAAGGGGGACCCTCTGACACTGCTGGTGAGGATGCACAATGATCCAGTCCTTATGAAAAATAGTGTGAACATGTTTTAAAACATTAAAAGTGGACCTGCCATTTGACCCAGTAATTCCACATCTGGCTATCTAGCCAAAAAATTTAAAAACACTGATTCAAAGGGAAACTTGTACTCCTGTGTTTATTACATTGCTATTTACTATAGATAAATTATGGAAACAGCTTAAGCACCCCAAAACAGATGAGTAGATCAAGAAGGTGTGGTATATATACATAATGAAATATTCCCTAGTGATTAAAAAAGATAAACACATGCCATTTGTGGCAACATGGATGGAGCTAGAAATGATAATGTTAAGAGAAAAAAGCCAGAAGAAAGATAAATGCTGGAAAGCGTCACTAATACATAAAATACAGCATAACTAAACTAACAATCAGATAAAGACAAGCTTAAATACCAACACTTGAAAGCTGACTAACTGAAGCATCTGGTGTGGAAAGGGGAGAGGGAAGGGTAAGAACAAAGATGAAAGGAAGAACAATGGACCATGATGGTGGATATGGGTGATTTGGTGGTGGGTGTACTACAGTGACAATACATGATGGGGTTATTCAAATATTACCTCAATTAAAAATAAAATTATTTTTAAAATAGTAATGTGCCTGTTTGATCAACAATTAACTGCTCTAGAGAGTCACAGAAATCAGACAATTGAAAATTAAATCCATCCTTCCCTTTAAGAATACATAAATGAGGGCCTCCTTGGTGGCACAAGGGGTTAAGCACAGACTGTGAAACTGTCTGCAGCCCCCGCAGCCTGGGTTCAATCCCGGCTGGCCACAGAGATACCCACATGGCACGGCAGACCTCTCCTGTCTCGCCCGCTGCTCCCCTCGGCAGTGTTTTTCAGTCAGTCTGCCTATTCTGTTCCCCACTCTGTCACTCTGGTGAATCCTCTCACCCTCCCACAAACACATCTGGCCTGTACCCAGGTTCTTGTATAAATAAATAAATCTTTAAAAAAAAAAAACACAGAAATGAATAAAAATAAATATATTGATTATAGCAAGTTAAAGACAACGCACACTATTTTTACTTTCCCATCTCCAAATGACAGTATAAAAACAGAATGTTAGATATGAGACTTTGAAGGGAGTAAATATTTCTAATTCGTTAGCTCTCCTAATGTACAGTCATTTTTTAATGCTTTTTACCTACCAAATTGAGGATAAATTTTAGATGTCAAATATTAGCAATATTTATATCTGTAAATTGGTTCTCCTGTGTAGAAACACAGCAATATTTTATTCACTACAAGTTCCTATGTCTACTTTTAGGGAAAGTAATGGTGAGGGGTGGGGGGTGGTGTATACCAGTGAGAAAGACACGGTAAGAGAGAAAAAAAGACAAAGACTCTGTGAGTGTGTGTGCACCCACACATCCAGAATGGACGTGTTCGGGCAATTAGAAATATGAGGCAAACACCTAAAACTAAAGTGGCTTGAATAGTTTTCATTGGCATAAAAGGATTGGAAATTTGAAACTATGTTCTATATTAAATTTCTTACCTCAGCTAACATTAGTGCATCACGGGTTTTCTTCCCCCTTTTCCGCAATTGTTTCTTTGTTCTTTCCACATTTTTTTTAATGGTGTGTCGCTTCTTAATTATATCACGCAATCTCTAAAAGACATTCAGATATTAGAATATGCAGACTTTACTATACAATGATCTTGCTTTAATCCAAATAGTTCCCAAGAGACTATTTTTATAATAACATTATTTATTTTTGTATAAAGGGAAAGACACCTAAATATGAATTACAGAAACGCACTATGGAATGGATTGTGTACAATCCCAATATTTAGTTTGAGTTACCTAAGAAACACACCATCTAGTCAAGTTTAGTTAAGTAAGAAAAATCAGTAAGCTCACTTAGAAATTTTAAATTTTCTTCACATTTAAAACATCTTAACCAAAATTAAAACTCCAAATATAAATTAGTATTACTCATTACAGAAAGTATGTAAAAACTTATTTTTTCCAGAGTTTATATTATGTTAATCATTCTTGTAATGCATGAACCATTAAATATAATAAAAACAAAAATGATTACTGGGCTAGAAGAAGGTATGAAACACTGGCTTTTAAAAAAATCAATGGAGATAAAAGCCATTCATTTTTTCTCAAATTTACTATCAAAAACAAATACTTTAAATCAGGTTTTCAAAGCAATTAATGTATTTCCATCATTAATATAACAATATTAAAAACACTGATCTTGTTAAGTGATAGTGCTAATTATATATTCACTAGATAGGTACTAAAAAGCATTTAGCAGCCTCAAGTAGGGTAATATACTAAGATTGTTTCCATGCTTTAATACTGTATACAACTTGCTTAATGTTTTTAGGCACAAGTTTTCTCAAGTTTGTGATACAAATAAACTCCTATTTCATAAGCAAGCTTTGAAGATCAAAATAAACTTTCATAATGGCAATATTTTGAAATCACAAATTTTTTAAACAAGGAAATTTAAAAAAATAAAGACTAAGAATATATTTATATTATTTGTAAAGAAAAAAATCCAGCTGTCAGAATGACCCAAATGAATGTCCTCTCTACAGCTAAAGACAAGAATATATAACTCTTACCACACCCTCTACTTCTCTAAAAGACTAATGACATTATGTATACATATTTTTCTACTAAATTTTTCTTTGGGAAGGGCTAGTAACATCAGTTACTGACATAAACTTGTTGTTTTGAAAATATTTTATCAACATTTGCTTTATTTTTCACATTAGCTGTCTTCACTTCTCCTACATGCATCAAAAATTTTCCATGAAAATGTCAAGATGCTTTATATTTTATATTTGAGTAAACATAGCTCTAGCATTTTATTAACAAGCAGTGAAGGCTCTGACCTAAGTTTATCAAAATAGGCAATCATGCCAGATAAATCACTGCTCACCCATTTGCAAACTACTTTTCCTAACCATGTTCCAATGTGGAGTATGGGGTTTCAGGTAATATTTGTCCATGCTTTTATGTCTTCCCTTGTGAAATCATAATTTTCCAGGTAGTAATGTATAATTACATACATGAATCACTGGCCTAAATATTTCTGTAAATTTATTTTTGAATTAATTACAAGCGCTTACATTATAATGTTCGTTGTAGATAGTTTTGATTTTGATAGCATCCTGTTCCAGCTGAAACAAAGGTCGCTCTATTTCTTCCAGCATTAGGATATATGTTGACTTCTGTTTCCGAAGTGCGTCCTTTTCAAGTGCCTGATCATCTTGAATGGCAACCAGTTTTTTCTGGCAGAAAAAAAAAAAAAAAAACAAAACAATTCATTTAGCTATTAAGTACCTAAACATTTACTGAGCCACTATCTGTGCCAAACAATACTGTGTACTGTTACTTGAAACATTTTTAAAAAGTCATCACAAAAATGCAGTTAGTACAACTATAGCACATTTTAAAGGCAGAAAATTATTATTGAAAAAAATGAAAGAAAAAATATAATAGATAATAAAAATCAAGTACTTTAAAGTAAGTATTAGAGGATAACAAACTTAGAGAACACACTAACAACAAACATTAAAATAATGTAATTCCTTGGGAGAGAATATGTGTATACTGTGCAACCGATAAAGGAACTTCTATCAAAAATCTACAAAGAGCTTATACAACTCACCAAAGCGAAGCAAATAATGGGCAGAAGAACTAAAAAGACACTTCTCCAAACAAGAATGCAAATGACCAACAGGTATATGAAAAAATGTTCAACATCATTTATTATCAGGGAAATCCAAATCAAAACCACAATGAGATATTACTTCACATCAGTGAGAATGGCCCATATTAAAAAAAAAACAAAAAAACAAAGAAAAAAAAAAAAACTGGAAACAACAAATGCTGTCAAGGATGTGGAGAAAAAGGAAACTTCTTACACGCTGGTGGGAATGCAGACTGGTCCAGCCACTGTGGGAAGGTGTGTGGAGGTACCTCAAAACACTAAAAGTGGATCTACCTGTGAACCAGCACTTCCACTCCTAGGAATCTACCCAAAGGACACAAAAACACTAATAGAAAGTAAGCCTGCACTCCTATGTTTATTTCAGCACTATCTGCAATAGCTAAGACATAGAAGCAACTTAAATGCCCCAAAAGAGAGGAATGGATCAAGAAGATGTAGATGTGGAACACTATAGCAATCAAAAATGATAAACTCATGCCATTTGCAGCAACCTGGATAAAGCTTGAAGGTATTATGCTAAGTGAAATAAGCCAAAAGGAAAAAGAAAAAGTATTGAATGATTTCACTTAGAGGTGGCACATAGGAACAAAGGGGCAGGAAAAAGACAAAACCTGCAAGCTGACCATAGACTTGCAGGAAATGGCAAGGGAGGGGGAAGGAGAGTGGTCAAAATGGGGGAGGGAAGAGCACAAGGGACTATGGTGAAAGTTCATGGGTGCTATGGTGGTGGGAGAACTATGGGGACTACACCTGAAGGAAGAACAATGATGTAGGAAAATAAATAAAAATAGACTATATATCTATATGTAGACATAGATACAAATCTAAGACTAAATAAAAATGATGAATAAGAAGTTAATAATAAAATATCACACAAAAGGGGTGGGAAGATTTAGCAATTTAAAAATATATATGTATAAATTTAGAATGGCTGTATATTTCCATGCATATGTATATTTCCATGCATATGTAAGAAAAATACACATTCCATTTATATGCTTGAAAATGTCAAATTTCCTAATGAAGTAATCACAGAATTTATGTCTGCTGTAAAGTGAACCAGAGATACATATAATCTTAAAGAAGTTTTAAAAAACATATTTTTAGCCTCTTGACTTAATTTTCTTATAATAATAATTTCAAATATTTATGTATTTCTTAAAGAGAGGCAATTTAGAAACATGCCAGGAATCAAAGTACCCAACCTGAGTTCCAAAGAATAAGTGGCAAAGATATATTTTAAAAAATTATTTTGCTAGCTATCATGCTTTAATTTTAAAATTTATATGTAGAAATATCGTAGCATATTTTTCTTTCAGTATTAAATAAACTCAATTGAAAGACACTAAAAGTAAAGAAAACATAACATCATCACAAAGCAAACTAAAGAGACACTTAGGATTAAAAGCCTACTGCCCTTTTACTAAACTGGCAGAAATTCCCATTAAGCCACAAAATGAGATATGTGTATGGGAGGTCAGTTTCTTTATGCATGATCAGACACTGCTAGTTGTACACAGAGGGCAACTGTCATCAGCTACAGAGTGAAAACTGCTGGCTTGCAAACCAAGTAGTGAAAAGATGCCTCATTACAGGCAAATTTAAAATGCTAAGTAAAATGCAAATGAAAGGAAGAATAAAACATTAAAACCAAGTTGGGATTACCTGAAGTGCTATTCCATTGGCCACTATACCTCGAATGAAGCTTTTCATAAAGTCTTCTCTACCCTATACATTATTAAAAAAAAAAAAATAAAAGGTTTACATTATTGAATATCAAAAACATTTCTAAAGACAATGCTAACACAAGATACATATTAAATATAGTAAAGAGCAAAATATTCATTATAAATTGAGTATTACCTTGATGTTATTTGAGGCAAAGTTATTGAGTGACACAAACTAGCAAATTAAACACAGAATTTCTACTTAATTCACTTTGTACTTCATAGTTCTGAGCTAAAATATCAAAGTAATCAAAAAGGAACATCTAGACAGCATTCAATTACTCTTTTATGAACTATAAGTTCATTTTGATATTACTTTCCAGTATTAACATATTTAAACTTGAATACTAGATACAATAGACACAATATTAGATACAATTGAAGTTTACAACATTAATCAGGTTCTCCTGTTAATTAGACAATTCCTTATTTGCTTTTTTTCTTTTTATAAAAAAATTCTCTGAAAGTTAATTATGAAAAAAATTATCTTTCTGTTACTTGGATAGTCTTAAATTCTTCATAGTTGTACTTTACAGTATCATCTGGCCAGATAGGAAAATATTTCAAAGTTCCTTTTGCTTCAGAATTATATCTGGAAAGCTTTATTTGAGAGAGGAGTGGGGTTGGATTTAGATTCAAAAGGGATGTATAGCTTGGCAAAGAGAAAAGATGGAGGTCCAGAAATGTCTCCAATATCCCTTTCATTACTGAATCCCTCATCATATCCCAGAGTTTATAAAAACAATATAAGAAGAAATGTCTCCTACAGTTCTTCCTTTTCTCAGTACAAAAATCCATGAAAATTATGTTCTCCTAAGTCCAGAAATAAAAACACACATATATGGAAAAGTAATTTACAACAAAGCAGCCAAGGTCATACAATGGAGCAAGGAAAGACCCTTCAATAAAGGGTCTTGGAAAAAATGGACAGTCACATGTAAAAGCATGAAACTAGATCACTATCCAAAAGTAATTCAAGATAGGTTGAACACATGGATGTAAAATGTGAAACCACAAAATACACAAGGGTTACAAAAAATATGGAAATTAAGTGGGCCCTCATACACTGCTGGTGGGAATGTAAATTGATGCACCCATTATGGAAAGCATTATGGAGAGCAAAAAATTAAAAACAGAAATTCTATTTGATACATTTAACCCACTTCTGGGAATTTACCATGAAAACATTAATTCAAGAAGACATACGCAACCCCATGTTCATTGCAGCATTATTTAAAATAGCCAAGAACCAGAAATAACCTAAGTACCTATCAACTGAATGAATATCTGTTCATTTCTATTCTATTCAGCAATTGTGGTACATACACAATGGCATACTTATTTAGCAATAAAAGGATGACGTGTTGCCCTTTGCAGCAACATGGATGAACTTGCAGAACATTACATTTAGTGAAATAAACAAGATGGAGTAAGACAAATATTGCATGATTTCACTAATATGTGGCATTACAGAGAAAATATATAGATGGACTAAATAAAATATACATATATACATACATACATAAAAATAGATTTTATACTATAAGAACATAGCACTCTTATAGTTCTATTAACCGTATTGGTAACTCCTTACCAGAAGGGAAGGAGAAAAGAGGGTGGTTAAGTCAAGGCAAAGGGGACATGTTGATTTTGAGTGATGCAAACCTGACATTTATATAATATTATAATGCATTGTTATTTCAATAAAAGGGGGGGCTATGTTCTCCTAAAGTAAAGAACAATTCCAAATAAGGAAATAAAAAGGTGGTAAAGAAGTCAACAATTTTTTATTTATTTTTTTATTTTAACATTTATCACTTTTTACATTTTTTAGACAATATTTGCTTCCCCCCACCTCCTCAAATTGAGTCCCCATAGAATTTCCTTCCCCAAGGCACCCATGCACCATCCCCAGAGTACCCTGTGCTCCTCCCTCCCTCCCTTTCACCCCTCTTTTTCCTCCTCCCCTGCAGTAGGTCTCTGGTTTATAATTGTCTGTTTTTGCTTTGTTGTGTTTTGTACTGTTATTATTATTTTTTGGTAAAGAAATCAATAATTTTAATAAATCACTTCACCTAAGGATATAACTACATTTCAAACCAATTTATACAATGACATATTTTTTTGATTATTTAAAATAAAGTAGTTGTCTTTTCTAATGTGCTAAAATGTGGTTTAATCGATTTGTTAAATATTTAATTAAAAGGGAACTAAAGGATGGACCAAGATGGCATCAACAGAGGTTCCTTGCTTTGGTGCCAAGAGGATCATCTAACAGTTAATCATATAGACACTATACCCAGCAACACTAATGTTTTTGGGGGGAAACTGATATACCTGTTGGATATCACAGAGCAACATAGAGTGGGGAGAAAGGAAAATAGACAGCAAAAGAAACACAATTCAGTGAACATAGGACAGTATGGGGAGGGAATATAATACCAACTTGCCATAGTCTGATGAAATATATGTGGAAATATGAAAGGTGTTGAATAGCAAAAGCAATTCTGATGAGAAGAATGAAAGTACCACACTCCCAAACTACAGATTATACTACAAAGCTATGGTAATCAAAACAGTTTAATATTGTGATAAAAAGAGAAATGGTATGGAATTGAGGGCTTAGAAATAACCAACAATTATATGAATAGTGGAGCCATGACAAAGGGAAATATCTTCAACAAATGGTGTTGGGAAAAATGTATAGCCATATGCAAGAGAAAAAAACTAGAATATTATCTCACATCATACACAAAAATTAAATCAAAATGGATTAAAAACTTGGATGGGAGGCCTGAAACCATAAAAGAATAAAACATAGGCAAAACACTTTAGTACATTAGCTTCAGGGATGTCTTTGGGGACTCAACTTCAATAGTAAGGGAAACAAAAGAAAAACTAAACAAATATGACTACATCAAACTGAAAAGCTTTCACACATCTAATGAAATTATCATTAAATGAAAACACACCCTACCAAACAGAAGAAAATATTTGCACATCACACATCCAACAAGTGGCTGATATCCAAGATCTAGAAAGAACTAATATAACTCAACAAAAAGAAACCAGCCCCTAAAAAATCAGCAGATGAGCTAATTAGATACTTCACCAAAGAAAGCATAGAGATGACAAAAGGGTACATGAAAAAATGTTCATCATCACTTATCAACTGGGATGTGCAAATGAAAACAAAGAGCAAGGAATATACACTGGAACAAGGAAATTCTCTTCAGTAAATGGAGCTAGGAAAACTGGACTGCCACATGCAAAAGAATGAAATAGACTACTCTCTGAAGTCATACATAAAAATCAACTCAAAATGGATAAAAACCTTTGATATAAGACTAGAAACCATAAAATATACAGACAAAAACATAAGAAAAACTTTCTAGGACACACACCTCTGAAACATCTTTGAGGGCTCATCTCCAGAAGCAAAGTAAATGAAGGAGGAGATAGACAGCTGGTACTATATCAAACTGAAAAGCTCCTGTATAGAAAAAGAGACAGCAACCAAAATGAAGAGACACCCTACTGAATGGGAGAAAATATTTACATACCATATAACCAATAAGGCACTGATATAAAAGATCTACAAATATCTTACACAATTCAACAAAAAAAAGCAAACAAACCAATCAAAAAATGGGCAGAAGAGCTTAAAAGACATCTCCAAATAAGAAATGCAAATGGCCAACAGGCATATGAAAAAAAATGTTCAACATATTATCAGAGAGATCCAAATCAAAAACAAAATGAAATACCACATCACATCAGCGAGAACGGCCCATATCAAATAAACCAGAAACAACAAATGCTGGTGAGGATATGGTGAAAAAAGAACCCCCTACTGCTGGTGAGAATGCAGACTGGTCTAGCCACTATGGAAGATGTGCAGAGGTACCTCAAAACACTAAAAGTGGACCTACTCTGACTCAGTGATTCTACTCCTAGGAATCTACCCAAAGGACACAAAAACACTGATTTGAAAGGAAACCTATACACCTATGTTCACTGCAGCACTCTCTGTAATAGCTAAGATAAAGAAACAAACTAAATGCCCCCCAAAAGATGAACTGATTGAGAAGATGTGGTATATATATATACAATGTAACACTACTTAGCAATCAAAAAGATAAAGACATGCCATTTGTAGCAATATGGATGGAGCTGGAAGGTACTATGTAAGCATAAATTGAAAGAAAAAAGATAAAAATTAGATGGCTTTGCTTATATGTGGAATGTAGAGAAACTATACAGTGTCATGGAAAAAAAAAAAAAAAACAACTTGTAAGCTCACCATAGATCTGAGGCATACAGCAAGGTTTATCTCATTGCTAGTGTGAGTAAATTTGATCATTTGGTTGAAGTGGGAGAATTACAGGAACTACACCAGAGGGGGGAAACCGAATACTATCCCAAAATTAACAGAGATATAAGAAAATAAAGAAATATAGAACAGTCAAAAAATGCCTTTATATACTGAGAAATTTAAGATGCATTAAATACTATTGTCATACAGATTTTCATTTATAAACTATCTTCAGGATGCATAGTAAAACATCTCAATCCTTGTATGTTGGGAGGTAGGTGAAGTGGTAGGAAAAACAGGAAGAAAAGTACCTGAATAAGAACAGAGGAAGACTGCCTTTTCCAGGAATATGACCTATGACCCCATTTGTACCAGATATTTGAGATTTTCAAATCAATTCATTTTAAAGGGAATAAAGAAAGGCTCAGGAAAGTTGCCATTTTACACTGTTAACAATGTGTAAGGTCAGGACCGGCCACAGTGCAGGTTTTCTGATCCCATGCAGACCGGGTAAAGGAGGAGTCAGAGTCCTCAGTGGTTTTCTGCAGGTCTTTTATTGGGGGTTCACCAGGCATATGGCAAGCAGGGGTGCTGGCTGGGGGGCTGGCAGGCTGGCAGGCCTGCCAGCCTGCCAGCCCCCAGCAAGTCTTCACTCTATCTGGGCTCTCTGGTGTTCTTTCTGCTGC